TATATATATATATATATATATATATATATATATATATATATATATATATATATATGTATGTTTTTTTTGTCATTATATAGAGAGCCTGCACAACGGCAAGATGAATAGTCTTGCTCGATCGAATGCCAGTATTTACGGCACGAAAGACGATCTTTACGACAGACTGAAGCGTCACGCGTATACTGGTAAAAAAGGTACAATCCCGCAACTACCCTCGTAAATCATACGTATAATCAACGCCGGCTCTCATCGCACGTTATAGCACGTGAACGTCCGAAAAATAGCTACCAACAGGATCGGATGCAGCGTACCTCGCGCACCGGCTGCTTATTTAATAATTAATTTAAGACTACGTCTTAAATCTCCCCCCTCCCCTCCTTCCTCGCTTCCCTTCTCCTTCTTTACGTCTTTTTACTATCATAGAACACGTAACAAATTTCCGTTATAACATATCGAAGTAACGACTGATTGATGCAACGAGCGCATTTATTAAATCGTTCTCGAGCATGTGGCGCAACAAATAATGTTACGAAATGTCCATTTTGCAGATAAGAGCGACAGCGACAGCGAAGGCCAGTGACCGGGTAGAACAATGAGTTTCATGCCAACGTAGAGTACGAAAAAGCGAGAGATATCGGTGTAATCAGACGGGGCGACGACGGTCTTTCATCCTTCGTACGACGTCGTCGTCGTTGCTCCTCCCGATCGACGGATCGTGTTGTATTTATTGCATATCCTTCTTCTGAGATGTCGCGCGGAATCCGCGGCTGTCCTTATCGGAACTAAACGCAAAGCTGAACGACATCAAAAAAGAATAAGAAAGAAAGAAAGAAAGAGAGAGAGAGAGAGAGAGAGAGAGAGAGAGAGAGAGAGTGTGTGAGTGAATTAGTGAGTGACTCGATCGGGCCGCGAGATCTCCAGTTCATGCAAGAGACGCGCGCTTGGATCGACGACGAGCGACACAGAGTCCTGGAACGACGATCGGTAAGCGCGATACACCGATCGTCGCTTCGGCACGCGTCCGTCGAGACGGACATGCACAAACAAAAGTTCTCCCGGAAATTCGAGACGCGCCACATTGCCACAAGAAACTCAAAGAGAAAAGAAATAGAGAAAAAAAGAGAAACGGGACGTTCTTTAAAATGAAATTCGATGCGTGTTCAATGATTAAAGAGACTTGCGCGCGCACGTATGAAGTTGTAATTTTTGTAATTTAATACCATCTAGATTATAAGAACCACTTCGCAACATCATTATCGCCAACAATTCCGTTCCCCTCTTCCTCCACTATATCCTTTATTCACTCGTACGATTAATGGTGCGTACATGACAAGAAGTGTGTGCTTGTATGTTGATATAACAATATGTACGTGGATTTATATTTTGTTATTCGAAAATATACGCGCATCACGTTGTAATATAATGGTGTGCGGTCACGCGAACGAAACGTGACCGAGAATATGTTCAGCGAAGTTCTTGTCGGATTTAAATAACGAGCGTGAGAGGATAAGGATGATTCGCGCAGTGACCAAAAGAAAAATAAATAAATATATATATGTGTGTGTGTGTGTGTGTGTGTGTATTTTGAGAATATTCGCGCGGGTGCGCCAATTCGTTTTCTCGCGCGACGATAATCACTCTGTAAAGTGAAACGATTCGCGCCATTGGCGCTTGGATGCAACAAAAAAGATAAGAGAATGTATGTCCGCGGCGAGTGTACACCGAACGACCATGCTCTGTTTTTCATTTATGTTGTATAGAAAAGAAAAAATAAATTTAACAGATAGTTGTTTTTTTATTAATAAAACATATTTCGATAAAATGCTCTTTGTGTTAAGTTTAACCAATCATAGAATCATTTAGAATCATCTCGTAATCTTTCTATTCTTCTTTCTACCAAGTGTGCGCATCCACTTGATTGCGCACAGATAACGCAAAGGTCTAAAAAACATCTGGTTCTACTTTGGTACGTCTTTAAATCATCTCCAAGATATATTTCAGATATTCCTACTGGCCTATATTATAAGCGCAAGACAGAGTGCAACTTGATGCAACCGTAAAAAACATATGTGTTTTATCAATTAAACTTCAAAGTCTTCCTCAGCAGCCGGTAATACTATAACCGTCACAGCCAAGGGTTTCGGGTTTGATTTCTTGCACAGTAAAATCTTAATCTTTCCCGATATTTGACTTTTCAAGCTTGCACAAATGGTTAGTGGTATGGGTACAGCGCTTGGCAGTAAGGGCAAATTTGTCACGCGAGGACTCACGTCGGTACCTTCGGCTCTACAGAGAATATACAACTCTGTACGGACCAAATTCTCGGAAATATTAGTCACTATGACGCGAATCGTGTAATTGGGTCCCAAACCGAGAACATTTGTCTCCAACGTAATGGGATTCAGTCCCGATGTTTGATTCTCATTCAAATGTTCAGAGGCTTGTTTAGCGATGGTCAAGCGTAAACGAAGAAATCCTTGTTGAAATGTATTGTGTATTTTCTTCGCCTCCGCTCTCTCCCTTATCGTTTGATCGACGAACAATCTTGTTTTTTTTGGTATCGAGAATTTAGATGCATTGCACGATGACGAATTAGACGTTGAATTGTTCACGTTAAAATCAGCAGTACGCTTCAGAATCTTCATACATAAAGCACCACCGACCGTGACCATCGCTATCGTTCGTTCCTCTTGCCCCATTCGTCCGTACTGAGCATTTTTAAAGAAAAATCGGTGATACATTTATATCGGAAGAAATATGTGTGTGCGTGCGTGCGTGTGTGTATAAATACCTTAAGGGCGGACACGGGTTCCATAATCTTCACAGTGTCCACATGATGTTTTCCGTCATAAATGCGTACTCCGTACCCCGCTGTGCTTACGGCTAACAAGGACAGACCGCTTTGTGGTACTGGTAAACTCACTAAATCTAATATTATACCAGGAATATCGATACACCACAGCTTTATGCCCTGTGTCAAAAACAATAAATTTTGAAATGTCGTAAAGGAAAAAACACTATATATTCACCACATCCAAGCATACCTTTTTTGAAAATCCTACTAAAGTACCATCCATAACAGCCACCGCTGCTCCGCCAGAAGTAAGAACGGAAATAGACACCGCTGGCGCGGGCAGTGTTTCCCAAAGTTTCACGGGACTTCCCCTCCTGATCGCTCCTATTTTTCCGTCTCTTCCAATAACCATTATACGACCGTCGCCTGTCCACAAACCGCAACTGGCGAATGTTACCGGTGGCCACTCTAGTTGATGTTTATCCATAACTAAAAAAGCTCTGTGTGACGATTGTGTTAAAGTAAGCATATCACACAATATATATGTTACTGTTTGTGTGAACACATTTGTTGCATAACAAGAAATGTCTACCTGGGATCCAAGACGAGAATTTCTCCAGCTTCGGTTCCTAATATAAGACAACTACTGGCGGGATCGTTCCACGAGTCTCTTCGTATGATCGCGATCGCTGTTAACGCATTGGGCTTAACGAGAGGCACTCTTCTATATTGCTCCGCGAAGCTCACTCGCAAATTACTGTCCATCGATAGAAATTTTAACGTTCGAGGCGAAAGAAACGCCGCGCCGAGCTCTTTCAGTAACAGCTCCAAGTCATCCGCCAATGTTAGTACATTCAATTCCTCGTCCAGCCCGCACTTATGCCAGATCTAAATTATCAAGGTTCTTTGTTTCAAAACGACTTCCTCAGAGCAAAACGATTTAGCTAAGTTTAATAAATTATATGTAAATTATATGTACTTCTCGTTCTTTCGGATGTGCGTCGATATGTGGTAGGCAATATTTGAAGAAGGGCCTCATATTTTTGAAAACATACACACTGGCTCCAGCTCCTACAGCCACTACCGATGATCGAGGCTCCCCATTTTCCGTATAAAAACCAACTATGCCGCAAGGCGGATCTACCATGTTGTGTTCAGTTACTTGATCACCTCCTTTATACACTCGTACCTGAAAAAACACATATATCAATTATATATAAATTTATAAGACCAAGAGTGCCTTACCAAGCGTCACATTACCAACTGTACATATACCATCACACACACACACACACACACACACACACACACATATATATATAATACACACCTTTGTTGAGTCATTTCCAACTGGTCCTAGATCAGCGCAGATAAATCTGGCATCTCCATCGCCACTTATATCCAACATATCAAGTCCACCTGGCAAAGCAAATAGACCAGCGCTTGGCTCCCAGAGTGCTTCCAACCAACGACTTGTTCCAAGTCCTCCGAGAGGTTTGTGATCTGCTCTATATATAAAAAAATATATGCAATTAAAGTATCACAATTTTCATACTCTTCTACATGTATAGTTGAACAAATTATTTTGATACCTTGAAATCTTTGTAAAATTTCTAATGGTGTAATATACAAGTCATTGGGTATAGTTTACAGCAAGGGCAAGCAACAGTATTTTAATGTATAGGCGATACTACTGTTAAAAGAACATATAGGTCAAGAGTACATACATCAAAGTAAGAATATTTACCTTAAACCGTGCATATTCACAAATTTTTATAGTTTGTTTCTCGTATGTAAGTTATATTACATATTAGTCTACTTTTTGTTTATATTGCGTATCCATTGAGATCCATCACAGAGATATAAGATGTATTTGAAATTGATCAAAGGATTTTGCGGTTAAATTGCGGTTACATGTTCTCTAATTTTACAATTATCAACTTTACTCATCGACATTCCATAGCTGAGGGTGGAACCAACTGCCACGAACTGGCAGTTTCCTACCATAGAATATCATTGGAATTATTCTTTGTTTATGCATTTGTTACCATAGAGAAACTGCTATCGCGCATAAATGTACATTCGTGTATTAAGGATACATCTGAGATACAATCAGCAACAAAAGTGTTTGAAAAACGAAAAATTTGAATATCTGCTTCAAACGTGTTGTAAACCTAGTGATAAGTAATATAAATAGTGGCTAACATAATATATTTTTTACTTTAAAAGTTATTTTTTACTTTCTCAACAGTTTATTACTTTTATTTGCTTTTTTCATCTTTCTATGATAAAACTTTTGGCAGGGAAAATGCCCTGAATCAACTTTAGAACATTATGGCTGCGTTCCGTTTCACGCATATGCGCGCATTTATCTATAGTTCATGTTACATATATTGTAGGCAATGCGCGCATAATGCGTGAAACGGAACGCAACCTATATCTTGTATTTATTTAACAACAATATCCATCAGTGCAAAGGAGAAAAAGTAATTGGGATAAGTTAAAACAGATAAATATTCATTGTCTGAACAATAACTATCAATATTATTTGTTGTTATAAATATTTAATGAAAAAAGTTAAACGTAGCAACAGCGTACTATGTAGTTTGTGGCTTGTACGTTGGCAGTAATACACTGTGCAGGCAGGTTAAATGAAACAATAAAAGCCTCAAATTTCACACTTATCCTATTGTTCATCGAAATTATTTAATTTGTATTCTTGTCCTCTGCATGAAACATGCAGATAAAACAAGAATTTACGGCGTAACTTTGGCTGCGTTCCGCAAAGCGCATCATGCGCATAATGCGCTGCGTTGGAGCAAAAGAGATACGAGAGTGAGATATAAAGAGAGGGAGAGCACTTAGATGATGTTCTCGAACGCATGAGAGCGCATGGACTACACTACCTCGGGAGCTGAGGCAGCCTATGCGCTCTCATGCGTTCGAGAACATCATCTAAGTGCTCTCCCTCTCTTTATATCTCACTCTCGTATCTCTTTCACTCTGATGCAGCATATCATGTACATGATGCACTCTGCGGAACGCAGCCTTTATACTGATTTATAGGTTATTTGAGGCGTTTTTTCGTTTCATGACCACGGTAGCGTTTAGTTAGTTGGTTTGGTCCATTTAACGCTCGCAATATTGCTTATTGAGTATTAAAGGTGCCTTTACATGGGAGCGTCGAGCGTTAATAAAGCGATAGCCAATCAACGTGCCACTTTCCGCAAAAACTATAAGTATACTTTTGGAACCTGATACGTTGATTGGCTAACGCTTTAAGGCTCGACGCTAGAACATTCCCATGTATTGGCATCTTTAAACAAAGGTAGAATGACGCTTGCGGCGTTGCGAGCGTTAAGTGAATTAAACCAACCAACCAAACACTACCGTGGTCACGAAACGAAAAAACGTCTTTGTTTGACACACCAGTTGATTGCAACGTTGTCGCATTACACAGTCCAATTACTAAGGGCGCTATCCTACGGAGCGGAAATTTTCTGCGGAATGGAATGTTCCATGCGGAATTAAGCTGATAGCACATAGAAAAACATAAGCAGTAAAGGGACGTCTACATTGGAAGTAAATAGCAAGAAGTAGGAAGTAAAAGTAAGAAATTGACCAACCACAGTCGAATGTGAGAAGAATAATCAACTATGATTGGTCAATTTTTTATTCTTACTTCCTACTTCTTACTGCTTACTTCCAATGTAGACGTCCCTTAAGACGTAAGCAGTAAGCAAATTGACCAATCACAGTTATTGATTTTTCTTACGGTGCAAGAATTAACGACTGTGATTGGTCAATTTGCTTACTGCTTACTGCTTAAGTTTTTCTGTGTGCCACGGCTCTTAGCACGACCAATCATAGCCGTTCCGCTTTTCTTCCGGTGCTTTTTCTATTTTCCTTGTGTCCCATGGAGCGAAATACGCGGAAGCGGATCACACGGAATAATACAAAAAATAGACTTTTTAATGTTATTTCTTACGTTTTTAATAATTTTAATAATATCTTATACAAATGATATATGATAAATTAGTAAAGAGTAAAATTAGTTTCTCAGTAAAATACTTTTTACGAAAATATGCAACTATTTTACGATTGGCTAAAACTTAATTCCGCTGCCGCGTTTACCGCTTCACGGGACAGAAGGAAAAGTACATCAGCAGAATTGTGGTGATACATTATGTAGTATTAGGTGCGCAACTAAGTTCCCACTGTTTGTCAATAGATGGCTCCAGCAGTAAGTGCTGGTCGATTTTGACATATCCAAAACGTCATGAACCAAGCTTAGACATATGGTAAACAAACCGCTTTGACACGTTAGTGATTTTGTTTTGGCGTCATATACTTTTGGTTGTGTGAAAATGTCTGATTTTGTGCCAAATAATCGTCATTTGCGGGAAGTGTTGATTTTCTTATTTCATTCGAAGAAAATGGCGGCTGAAGCGCATCGAGAGCTCCAAAAAGTTTACGGAGATGCTGCTC